AGTCCCCATCCCCACTTCAGCTCCTCGCAAACTCGTACGCGTCTGGTGTCTTCCCACAGCGCCCCACCGACCCTCATTACTGCTGGGATCTCTGCGGACAGCGAGCCACGTCTTTCATAGCACCACCAGCCCTACTTGATCCCTCCCAGAAAGCTGAAATTCTTCAGGAGAGGAAAACTCTTCCCCTCAAAGGGAGTCAAACCATTTAATAAACACCAGCTGCGCCTCCCAGCATCGCCATGTTCGAGTAAGACCATTCGTCCCATGCTCCTAGCGAAGAAACCAGAAAGCCTCTGTAATTAAGCATCTTGAAGGCCAACCAAAAACTGCAAGCAGGGATCAAAATCCAGTCTTCCATCTCCCATTTATCCTCACACTCCTACATCCTAACCACCAGGGAGAAGTGCTGTACTACCAACTCGTCCTGACACGAAGTACAAAAAGCAAGGTAAATTAGAGGATTAAAATATTCACTATCACAACACATTCAGTTTGGCAACCAGTTAACAGCCAGAACGAACAAACCTCAATAATCCAGAGAATGAAATGTATTAGATTACACTGCTAATATAATTAAGAATAATTCAAGTTATTTAAATGCTTTCAGATTGTCTTTTATTACTCCACAACAGTCCGTCACACCAGCTGGTACAAGCGTACTGAGAAGTGGCCACAATCTACATTCTAATAAAAACACTTCAAGTAATTATTCACTTTCAATTTAAGAGATGATGATCGAGGAAGCATCTAGTTTTTCATTTTTAGCTTTGAAAACAAATTGCTATTCCTTAGAAACTCAATTCTTTCCAATTGGCTGAAGCATAGAAAGTCTTATTTCTTTGAGCCAGTCATGTTATACCTTTTCATTAATGTTGCAGTAACGGTCACAATAGAACCAGTACCCGACAGACAAAATGACAGCACTTACATTACATTGGCTGCCTCAGAAGAAATGAAGGGACTAAAAAGGAATATGCTTGCGAGAAAATAAACTGGCTTTGACCGCAACCTTTGCAGAGACGCGGTATCTGTTTTGATACTGCAGTTATCTTGCAGCAGCCATTATCTTAGTACTGCTTCGGGGTTCGTTCTTTTGCCGAGAACACCTCCATACGCCAGTGCAAGAATCCCTCTCGCATCACCACGCGGAGTATTTCCTTACACCCTCGCAATTTAGCGTATTCTGTTTCAGAAGAGCCTTGCACTCCCAGAACCCCTTTTGAACCCGCGTCTCGAGCCACTGGATACCGATCCTCACCAGAGCCCTGTTCAGTGGGTATTATCCCCACCGCGCTGATAAACTACGGCACTGGTTGTCAGGTGTTAACCAGGGGTCCCGCCAAAACCAGCTGTGCTTCAATCTGTCATTATCCCCCTGTACATGAATAAAAATGCCTTACTTTAGGTGCCCGAAACAATCTTGGTTGCATCTTTTTAAATAACTGCTAGTGTCCATTCCACCGCTGAAACCGAAACTGTTAGAGGGACTAAAGACCCGGCATACGCTAAAGGCAAGGTCTCCTCATCCCCAAGAACTCGCTGCAGTATTGTATCCAGTTATAACTCACTCCATTCTTTTTCATTTAAACACCATGAGAGGAATATTAACTAGATTGCATGGCAATCACTTTAGAATGCATTATTTGAGAATTGTGGGTAATGATATAATTTGCCCAGGCTCTTGAAAGATCTCAGCTGTTTATTAATGATAAACATGAAAAACTTACCTCCCAGCTAGCGTGACAAGAGCTCTTTGCCCAGCTTTCCTGTATCCTCTGACACGGGGACTTCTAGTAGTCCGTTCGGCTACCAGCATAAACACGAGAACTGTTACAGATCAAGCCAGGCCAAACAGCTAAGCCAGCTCCAACTAATTTGATCCAAATTGTTTGTATCCCTGTACCTCACACTACTTCTGAATCACCCCCCCTAGCAGCAGCTCTCGTAGTGAAGATGAAGTCACAGCAAAACCACTCAGGAAACAGGAAGCAACAGGTAAATTCTCTAAGCAGCAGAGGAGCAGTGCCGCCAAGCAACAAGCGCTATCGTAGGGAGAGTATTTGCAAGATCATGTGAGAAGAGTTCTAAAAAAATCAGTTTTTAAAAAAACAGGTTAGTATTTCTGCATTGCTGCGTACACAAATATGTATCAGAACGTGCCAGTCCACTTAACAGTTTGCTAGACTAATGGAAATTAAATCTTTGAAGCTCTTAAGGAACTAAGTCACTTAAGGTCTTTGAGAGTTTCTTGATTTTTATCTAATCAAGGGAATCTCTCTCAGAAAAGACCATTTAATCAGTTTTTGATTGCAGTCACCATCTTCCATAAACACCATTCAGCACTGTTAGAAGAAATATTTCAGAAATATGAGGAGCAAGCTCAGGTGAAGAGCAGAAAGGTGTTAGAAATGGAGGAATTTTGGTGATCAATGCCTCTCCATTTTTTAACAGCCTGTTGCTAAATACTAGAGGAAACTTCAATTTATGCTGAATTAAGGAGTATTTCCAAAGCTGTCACATCAATTCAAAGGTACAAAAGCCTATGTTTTTCATTTTTGTACAGGGGAATTTTGGTAAGCTAATCAAAATTCATGTTAAATGGTCTCATTTTATTAAAGGAACATTATGTTACAAGAATCCTGCACCTAAGTTCATGACAGATGAAGCACCACTCTACTAATTCAGGAAATTAAGACACTGGTTTTGAAAGCATGCTGTTCAGTACCTGTCACTTGACTTCTATTGCCTCAGGAAAGAAAAAACAGTAGGCAAGATACAACAGGGTGTTTTGAGCTTCAGAGTCTTAAGTTGGGCTGAAAAAAAAGCTGTACTTCAGGAGACCTCACCCTTTCTTCAGAAACTAAAGCAAGTCCAAACATCTTTTTTGGCCAAACAAGATAAAGACCGCTTTCTCCTGGGAAAAATCTGGGCACGACACCAAGTAGAAAGAATTTCATACACTGTTATCAGCACTCTAGCCAGGTTGAAAGCCAGAGATTCTAAAGCCGAAGAGCAATGTATTCCATGTCTAACCTATGAAAGGAGTTGAAATATATGCCCCACCACCCTCCTTTCCCCCTTTCCCCCCCCAAAGAAGTTTTTTCCAGGCCTTTGTGGGTTTGGATATGAAAACATTTGTTCACAAGAAGGAATTCCAACCTTGCAATATACCACAGCAGTCTACAGGACATACACCAGAGTGAGAAACAATCTGCTTAGCAGTAGAATTTCCTAGACTTAAAACAATGGCATACGGTAGCTTATATTCCTCAGCTACACAGTCGAAAGGAACTGCAAAAACCAGATGCTCTTCTTCTTGTATCTCCATTAGATGCAATTAATGTCATATCAAATGTGTTAAAATCGTGACAGAAGTCAAACAGATCGTTGCCCATCAGCTAAATGCACAGACTCATCATTTTGCCACAAAGTTAAAGCATCTCCAGACCCAGCAGGCACAGGCCTAGCAGGCAATAATCGCTTCTTGACTTAACTATTACAAGAACTACCCCCAAAAAGTGAGCTCTGCTAACAGGTTAATACCTAAAAGAGCATTAACTTACTGCAAACACTACAAAATAGGAGACCATTGCTAGGACACCAGGGAATGCTCTGGGGCTGCTGAGCAGACAGGTACATAACCTTTCGGGAACATCCACGGATTTCACCACGACCTCTCAGCTTCCCCATGAGAGAACTCCAGAACAGCAGCCTCGTGGGAAAGACCCACAAAACCCATCACCGTCACTAGCGCCCTCCAGCACTCCAAGCCTCTTCCCCTCTCAGGTGGGAACACCACAGTGGTAAAGCAGAGCTTGGAATCTACACCACCGTAGCTAAATACACCCGAAACCAGAACGCAGTTCTTTATTTTTGCTTTACATTTCCAAGCATCTCCTATTTGATACCATGGTAAACTGAATGGTTAACGAAATTATTCGCTCTTTTTAACTCAACGTTTACATAAAAAAGCATTCCAATACAGACTTTTAAATAAGCTACTGTAACAACAATATTGATGTTTCTATTAAAGACTGACAAAAAGAGCTCAACCCAAAGGCATAAGTAAGTACTCCAGGACTTTGCAGTTTGCCTAATCAAACATTTTTGGCTTAGCAGAACATATACATTTTAAAAAAAGAAAAAAGGAAAGAAAAAGACAAAACCGACTTCTATTTCCAGTTCAGCTACTGACTGACTGTCTCAAGGAAGCCTTTCATTTTCCAACAGTCTTCTGACTGTAAAAGGGGATTATGCTTACTTACCGCACCGAAAGCTGAGAATTGAGAAGCATAAAGTGCTGCATAGAAAGAAATACAAGTGCTGAGTACTATTACTCCACAGAAAAATAAAGAAAACTGGTTATTTTAAACAAGAAGTTTATTTAAACAACAAGACGCTTTACTTGAAGGGAAAACTATCTAGGATCATTTTTTTTTTTTTTTAGAGTCATTTACCCCTACTTAGACAGAGATCGCTCTACATGTAACAGCTACGTACAAAAAAGTTATAAAATTGTCCTTGGTTTTACAATGATAAAAGAAAAACATTGAAATTATCCAATCAAACAAGGTATGCAAGGTTTTTGTTTTTAAACAGTGAGAGCAAAATAACTTACTGGAATATAAAGATAAAAGTAGAAGGAGCATGCCACTAACGGAGAAAGGGGCATTTTCACAGAACCAGTTTGTTTTCCCACCCCATCTCCATTAAATGTTGATCAAAACATACCATTGGCCATTTAGTTAAAAAAAATATGCATTATGTCTGTGCACATACACCAGTTACTTTATGTACAATAGAAGGAATAGGAAAAAAAAAAATCAAAGAGAGAAGAGAGAAAACTATACTGCAGTAGTCAGGATGTGGCTGAACCAAGTCTCATTTTTCTAATTGTGAATGTGTCGCCTGTGGGAGCACAGTTCTGGAGAGGAAAGTAGCAGGTTCTTTTTTTGTGTGTTTGTTTTGTTTTGTTTTTTTTAGTAAACTCCTCCTGTTTGGAAAGGGGCATTTTCACAGAACCAGTTTGTTTTCCCACCCCATCTCCATTAAATGTTGATCAAAACATACCATTGGCCATTTAGTTAAAAAAAATATGCATTATGTCTGTGCACATACACCAGTTACTTTATGTACAATAGAAGGAATAGGAAAAAAAAAATCAAAGAGAGAAGAGAGAAAACTATACTGCAGTAGTCAGGATGTGGCTGAACCAAGTCTCATTTTTCTAATTGTGAATGTGTCGCCTGTGGGAGCACAGTTCTGGAGAGGAAAGTAGCAGGTTCTTTTTTTGTGTGTTTGTTTTGTTTTGTTTTTTTTAGTAAACTCCTCCTGTTTGCTGCTGGAACACATCAATTGTATCTTCATCCTCCATTTCCAACTATAGCAGAAAAGAGAAAAAAGGCTTTCAACTCTTCTCAGGTATCTACTATAGGCCAGCTTGCTCTTACATTTCCTATCTTCATGTTTACTTTTCATGCAACTTAACCAGACCAGCCCCGCTCCCCGCCATCATCATCACTTTGTACATTTAACCTACTTCACCGTAACTCAAAAGCAAAGAAATTGCATGGAAAAAAACCAATGCCAGTTGATAGTCGTTGTCCTAGAATGAATTCTAGCAGGTAACTTCAGGGTGCATTGTATGACTCCTATGGAAAAGATCAGCACTCATAATATTTTAATTCTGTTGCCTACTTTGCCATTGCATCTTCTTTCTCCTATTTACTTCCTCAGTTTACCTCAGAACATTGCCACAATTCCACTTTGCTGATGTTGTTCAAATGTGCAAACTGCTTCAGCTACAGCACTAAAGAAAGCAGACTATAATTAAGGCCCCTAGCCCAACCAGGCAGGAAAACCAAGCACCAGCAAGCACAAAAAAATTAAAAACACTTTACATGGTCAACAATGTAACAAACTGCCAGTGAGGAACAGCAATACTTCATTAACATAATGCTCTTTTTTCAGCGTAGTTTTTACAGTTGATATTCCTGGGATGTTAATGTTACCTACTGACAAAATCTGTACCAAGACTTCGCTATAACTAATGTACGTTATATTTCTAAACGGTCTCAATTTCTGCTCCAGGAAATCACACTAGTCTATGGCATTTACCGCAGCTATAAATAGACTGATCCTAAGCTTCAGCGTAACATGGATGGAGAGAAAAGCACCCTGTTGCCTCAATTATCAGTATCCCAAGTTAAAAAGTTGCCTAGATTGTGGCCAGAAGAGGCACATTCTTTGGAGCAACTGCTTAAAAAATACAGATCTACTAGGAGCCTTCTAAAAACAAGAGTCCCTTATTTCATAACAAGTGGTTCTGAAAAGCATATAAAACTGTATCACTTGGAAAGTCTGATTACACACGGCTACGTGGAGCAGTACAGAAAAATCCTCAGAGTCACAATGAACCATTCTGTTCTCGGGATGGCCTTCGTTTTAACCAGTTACAAGCAGACAGCCCAAACTTCACAGTATTCATTAATTTTATGCCGCTGAAACAGAGCTTCGAATTACAAATAACAGAAAATGACTTTCATATTACAAATGCAAGTTTGCAAACGGGATCTCTGATAACAGCCTGGCAAGCTTTTATAAAAAATAAAGCCATCGCTTCAGGAAAAACTCAATTCTTAACTTACCGATTCTTATCTTGGAGCCGTGACCCAATAAAGCGACAGTTTTACAAGACTCGCCATCTGTACCTATACTTCATTTTCTTACTTTATCGCTACAGTGATACAGACTTATTATTCAAAACACTAAAGAAATCTTAGATTCTATTTCCAATAATTCTCAACTAGTTATACCAAAATAATGGCCAAAAAATACCAAGTTCTATCAGTAACACATACAATTACACAAGTGTTTTGTACGAAACAGAAGCATCAACTCCTGCAGCAAATTTCAAATACAGTTCTTTAGTCTTGCTTCTGTTGTTTACCTGTGCAGGTGTGTCTGTTTCATTAATTGGCTGCCCATCGAACCGGAATCTGATTTGCCTCATTGACAACCCCTGGACAAAGAGAAGTAACACAAAGAGACGTAAGTCTGGTGTAAAAGTACTCGCTAGTTTTCTCTTGAGCTTGTCACTGGAATTGCAGCGTGATCATTAAAAGCCACCGTTCACGATATAGTTTTCGTACTCCCCTCATGCACCGACTTTAAGGCATTTCACTACAAATCCTTGCAGTCTGTTTTGTATTAAAAATTGCGTTGTGTCCAATAACTAAGAGAAGCAACAGTGCCCCCACTGCCTGTAAGTTAAAAATAAAGCAATTTCTAGTACACAAGTCTCACCCCGAAGGCCAAGATTTTTAGAGTGCTTTTTAATAATAATTCACCTAAAAATTAGATGCAACACTTTGGATAACAAATGTCAAACAGTAATATTCAATACTCCTTTTTGATCTTCCCCCAAAGCAAAGGTATTCTAAAATACCTTTTCCAGAAATGCAGCCACCATCTATTAGTCTGCAGCAGCAAAGAGTAGCCAATGGGAACTTTGTGACCTTTAATTCCTATTAACAAGACATCAACGGAACAAAGTTTTTCCATGCACAGCTGGAACTTTCAAAAAAACTTACGGAATCTTCTACTTCCAGAAACTACTGAAGAGTATTTCGAACTAGCATTTCTACCACACAATAGTCGTTTTGCTGACCTCTTCCATCTCCAGAAGACTACTTCTCCTTCTCGCTTGAGCCAACAGGTTCAAAAAGGTACCTAAAGAGCAACGGTCCCTCCCACTAATAACGTCAGCTTCAAATTCACAAGTTAGTTTTCAAAGGTATTCTACAGCACGCTACATTCTGCAAAGATGAATGAATTGGAGGATACAACCAGAACCAAGAACGTTGCTGTCTACTCCTTTGCCAGTTCTACCCACCCTCTATCTAAAAATACAAGAAGTCGCGCTGGTTTTGAAGTAAATCCAAGGTATTGCATGGCGCTGCTCTGGCATCTCTGAATTAGAAAAGCAGCTTTTGTTGAGCCATGCGAGAGCAGATGTAACACACAAAAGAAAGCTTAATGTAGTAATTATTTTTGAGAAGTTGATTTGTCGGGAAAAATATTTTAATAAAGAATATGAGTAAACTTTTTGGTAAGGCTTTATAGTTCACAGCAAAATGCCTTCTCTAGCCTGACGAAGATTCTGCAGTGTTCCCTCAGAACATCATCTTGTTTAAGAAAACCACGTGGCCAAGTGTCATGGCAGCAACACATTTTGGCACAGGAACATTTGGTTTGAGCTGTTTTCTCCAACATCGTGTTTCTTAAAATATATATTTCCTATTCCAAAAGCGTTGGGTTTTTTGCAGGTTCCCGACAACTTTATGAGCTGAATAAACGAAAGCTGAAAACATACTGAAAAACTGTACCTTGGTGAGATTAGTATCCACCAAAAAATTAGGTATGTTCCATGGATGATTTCATCCCTGCTTATAATAATCGCAAATAGTCTTGATCTTCTAAACATATCATTCAAGGTTTAGTTACTTCCATTTTAGGTCTACTACACGCAATATATTATTTTCATTCTCTAAAGCTGCTAAATTCTCTACGCAGCTTCCACCTCTCCAAAATTAAATCTCAATCCACAGCTTAGGGATTTTAAGATTGAGTAGGAGCCCTAGTTGCTAGTTAGGAACACGAACAAAATCTAACTTTTAGAGACACACAGAACAAATACTTTTAAACGAAGTTTGAGAAGTAAGCACCTAAGAAATAAAATTTAAAGACAAGTCCATCTCCACAGAAATATCCTTTGGATACCTACTAGTTACTTAAAACCAAAATCAGAAACAATGTCTCCCATTCTAAAGATTTAAATTTTTTTTTCCTCCAGTTGACACCTGGGTTTTTTTGCTGGTTTGGGTTTTATTTTTTTTAAAGCAGAGTAGAAATTTAGGTGAGAAGGTTTACTTTTTTTTTTTTTACTTTTGTTTGTTTCCAAGTAACTGAAGTATGAATGGTACTTCTAAAATCACCTTTCCCAGGACTTTACAGACAATTAACCAATCCTCAAACTCCCCAAGAGACAGATATAACTGCACTTCATGTTTGGAAAAAGCAATACACAGTGATTTGCATAATGTAACATGAGTTTGTATGACAGAGCTAGGAAAAATGAGCTCACAGCTTCAAAGATTCGCTAATTTATCCCCAGAACACCCGTACAAGAGCATATTCACATGTTCAGTACGAGCTGATTTTCCCTGTCTTTATCCGGATCACTATCCTATTGTGGCAAAGGGTAAAACAAAGAGGTTTGACCACTCTGTAAATTAGAGTTTGTTTTTCTTGGTGGTGAAACAGTCACCTCAATATTTTATACTGATTTTTTAACTGAGTTCCACGGTTATCACTGAATATTTGTGTTTTAAAAAAAAGAAAAACCTTTCCCAATTCCAAACACTTTTGTAGAGATGGAACTTTTTAAAGGCAGACAGTCATAAAAAAAAAAATCAGGGACAGCACAGGCAAAATTTTCCTAATCAAAAGCTTCAGAAGAAAGCGTTAAATAGCACTACTCTTATACAGGTGGTTTTGAAACTTGCAACAGCTGCCTGCAGCCTAGTAGGGTGCCTGCAGTTGCCGCTACACTAGGAAAATACATTTTTTGTCCCTCAGAGGATTAACTTGACAACTAGGCCACAAGAGAAAAAATAAAGCTCATCACTACAAGCTCCTTCTCGAGCTAGACATTAGACACCTTTAAACGCTGAAATACTCATCGATGTATTGATATTCTCTCATCTCAACACAATACTACTCAGCTGATAAACCAGAAGTCTCTGACCAGACTGAGAAGTTACTCAGTTATAAAAATACTTCTGATTATCACTCCACTCTCTATCCTAAGTTCATACCGCAGGTTCCTAACCCAGCCTTTCCATACTGATATTTTTGAGCAGCAGAGTAACAGTTGCCTCCCAACACTAGACCAATGCAGATTTCACAAAGACAACAACAGACCTTTATTTTACCCGTTTCCTGCCACAACCCCGTCGGTCCACTCTATAACAGATCCCACGAACAATACACTTTCCACAACACAATTCGTTTCTGTTAAGCCTTTATCATTTTGCATATTTACATAGACTTTACTGTCTTCATCTATCTCTATGGAGATCACCTCTCCCCCAGACACCGGTTCTCCTGATGATCATAAAAGAGCCATACCTGTCGTTCACAATAGGCTTTCATTAGTTTACTAAGTGGTGTATGCCTCTTAATCTTAAACTGCACCACCGACCCATCTTGCCCTGCAACCTTCAGATTAATGTGGTCATTGTTTTCAGTCTTCACTCCTTCCTGTTGAGGAAATAAAAGAAAAAAAACCCCCAACATTTTTTTAAAAGGTATGAAACAAGAAGTTAACATTTTACCAAAGTGCAACAGGTCATTAAAAAGGAGGAAATAAAGATATTATAGCTGTTTACCAACTTCAAACTTTGAATTAGGAAATAAAGGTCAGTACTTTATATCTGGAGGGAAAAAAAAAAAGCCACACAAAAAAAATCCCAAACCCTACTAATATTAGTTGTCATTCTTGAGATTGGTTAACATGAAAAGTAGCAATGAAGAGTTACTAGGCCAGTTGTTTTACAACAAATTTAAAAAATAAAAAGTTATTTCTATCAAGGGCACAATAATAGGCAACACTACTGTTCCTAATCAAAGGAATGAGGTTATTTATGTTATAACCATGATCTCCACCACCAGCCAGTCTCTTTCTTAGTGTATCTCAAACTTTTTCCTATCAGTTGAGGTACTTCTGAAGAAAACTTCAAGATACTTTAAAGGACTGAATTTGAAAAGGTGACAAAATCTGAAAATACCCAAACTTTCTCCTTCCAAAAACGATTAAGGAAAAACCCTCCTTAATGAGCAGTCCGGTCCTCTCGCTTCCATTAGAAGCCACACGCAGAAACTGCAGAGAACCAACTTCCAACTCCGCTGCTGGTGTTCTGATCCCGAGTATCACGGCAAAGAGCAGGTTCAGCGCTGCCCAGACCCCAGGCAGCGCCGGCTCCCGAGGTGCCCAGCAGCTTTTCCATCTTTGTTTGCTTCAGGAGGAGCGGGGAGGGCGTCGGATGGCCCCGGCCGGGCTGCGGGGCCCCGCCATGGGACAGATCCCCGCA